TTTATTTTTTTAAACAGTATACACACAATGATTGTACATTTAATATGAAGAAGAAAACATTTTCTCACTATAGGCTAATAGTCACCATGATTCGAAAAGAAAGAATATCAATAGCTTGAAGCACAACATCGATCGGTCATCAGAGATATCCAGCTTATATTTTTAATAACTTCGGTTTGGTTGAACCAAAGCGACGAATTTTTTTTGGATAGTCGAATTCAACAGCTTTTATGATTAAAGAAAATTTCAGAATGCTATCTTTTGCCATCGTGAAGATAGCATTAGAGAAAACAAAATAGAATGAAATCGAAGTCTGTTACACATGATCTTGTCAAATCAACATAGTCAATCAAAAAGAGTATGCATTGCATGAATGATGTGTCAACATTTTATTTGTTCCAAATGAAATGTCTATAAATACATTATGCATCATAAGAAATCGAATGTCCATACTTTAGATATTATTCAATATAATTCAAGCAGAAATATTGCTCCTAGAAACATTTAACACTGAGAAATCGAGTCAATTTTCATTTTTACAATAAAATATCTGTTGTTTTCCTTTCTGTAGAACAACGAGAAACGTAATATATCTAATAGGATATTTTATATTCATTACAAATATTATAGATGTTTGAAAAGCGTTTATTTGCATTCGAACAATAATTAAAGATGATTCTCATTGGATATATCAATACACAGAAGATGCTTTGAGCATAATTTCGCCATGAACTATTTCAATAATTCTAACTTGTTTAAAGTTCTACTAAGTTTAATGCTCGATAAATGCATTATTAAATTATCGATGACTGAAAGTAGTACCATATGCAATCGTCTTCTCATTTTCGGAAGAGATTTTGCCGGATCAGATTTTATCTTGTATTCGACATTATCACTAGTAATCGATCATATAATTTTATCATTAAAATAAACAATAAGAAGCAAAGTAAAAGGCTCGCCTGTTATAAAGCAACTCGGAAGCAGCCAAAGCTCATAAAAACAAAAGTTCCGGTGATCCATCAATTCGTTCCGAACAATTTGTCGTGTACAATTCGTCGCAAAAAAATTGTTGCAATCAATTCGTTGTATTTTTTCTTAATTAAATATTTTTATTTGTGTTGTCACTTGAATTCATGGTTGAATAAAATCAAAAAATGAAAAATAGGAAGGAATAAGATTAGGATTCGGAGCATGGCAGTGGGATGTTGGTTGCGAGAGAAATGTAACCGTCAATAAATTGGTATAACAGCATGTTTAATTGATAAATGATTTTTCTTTGAATTAATTGATTGATGAATAAAGAGACTTTACCTTTACAATCTCGATTTTTCCATCGAAAGATCAACTTTATAGTTGTTATACCCTCGAAAGTGTAGATATAACTTTCATGGAGTACCATTGGTTTTTCTTTTCCAGAAAAAGGGTCTTGGATTTATGTCATTTTGTGTCGAGAGTTGTGCGTAGTAGACGATGAGATCGACAGATAGACTTTTCCCCCCATAAATGTATACTTTTTATATATCCTGATCGCAAAATAAAGAACATTAGATGAATGTTATCGTTGATCTAGATTAAGTTGAAATTCATTAACCGATAGCCAAATCCAATTATTCCTCGATCAATTTAGCTTTATCATACTCAATACTCACACACGATTGGCATTTTCTACTGAACTATTTCCCTAATTAACACCATAATCCTTAGAACCATCTTTAATTGTGATGGTCTTTTAAAATTTTTCATATCTTGATTTCACTCAACCTTGAATCGAGTGATAACACAAATGAAAACATTTAATTAAGAAAAATGTAACGAATTGATTGCACCAATTTTTTTTGCGACGATCAGTTCGCGAAGAACAGGACGCGACAAACTGTTATCCGACGAATTGTACTGGTGCCAATTTCTATAACTGTTTTGTTAATCTCATCGCTTAATATTTAATTCACAAGAACACAACAAACTACATTAGGTACTCTATTAGAATAAATATTTCATATTATAAAGTTTTTAAGTCATCTTCTATACATACATCAATTGCTGATAGATTTTCTCGTACTGTCTTATTAACGTATCGAAGAATGTAATAGATTTGTAAGAAATATTTTTCTATAAGAAACTTTTATACATTTGAAATCAAAATAAATTATATCAGTTACGTACGCTAAGTTTCATTTGATATATTCGTGTTTGGTAAGTCACATATCCATTCTGTTACTTGGACTACAATAATTTTTTTGCTCTTGCTATTTACAGCTTAACCCTTTCGTTACCATAGTATAAAAAAAGCTACACCTGTTTTTAATTATTTTTCATAGCATAATTCATAAAAATTAGTATGAAATCTCTTGGAAGGAAATAATAAAGAGTATTCTAGAACCTTTCCGGAGTATCTGTGTTACAAGTATTGTCTTCATATCTGTCCTTTTTCTTCTTCTCTTTCCCTGGATGTTATATCTCTCAAAGAAAGTATATAAGCGAAATTGGTTTCGTATATTCATTTACTTTCTTCGAACAAGTCTTTCGAATGCGTTCATCTGTTACAACGATCTGAATCAACAACACATGGCTTATGTCGAATTCCTCTCTTCTATTTCAATGTCACTGATTGGTGATCAAAGTTCACGGAAAAGAAGAGGTAGACCTATTCACTTTGCTGCCCAAAAGTGTAGACGAATTCAACCGACGCCTGGGAACAAATATTTATCAACTCCATTACAAGCACATATGCCTGTTGCTGGACCTAAAGGAAGATGCGGATATTGCAGAACGAAAGCTCGTTCAATATTTAGTAACATAAAATGCAGTTTTTGTGGTATTTCTTTTTGTGTAAAACAACATAAAAATTGCTTTTTGTTATTCCATGAAAACATTCTATAAGTTTTGCAACTAGTAAACTTCAGCAGTTAAAATTTCCATTTAAGTATAACAAGGTTCGATATAACTAACATTCAGTAAATCACATGCGAGAACACATGAGTTACTTTTTACATATGTTCCTATTAGTGGTGAATTGAGGGTTTTGGCAAAGACGGGGCCGATCACTTCTTCATCCGCTTCTCAATTCGTTACTGGTCCCTATCTCTAAAAAAAAGCTAATTTAATATTTTACTCGATTTCAATGCAGAAAAAAAAATTATGTAACGAAAGGGTTAACAAAAGTAAAAAGCTTAAAAGATATCATCAGTTTTTATTCTAAATATAAGAATTTTTCGATGCGTGAATAAGACTGTAAAAGAACTTATATCTGTGCTTATTTTTTCATTCCTCATCCTCGAGACCATCTTAATAGAAAATGATAAGTTTCGATGCTTACATTCAGTCAGTAAAAAAAGAAGAAAACTCGTACAAAACTACATAAATATGGTGCGAAACAATCTCAATTTTCGACAATGCGGTTTCAATTAAAATAAGAACAAAAAATTATTTCTTCTACTCACGACAGTGGACTGGCGACTAGACGACCAATTTTAATTCTTTCGAATAAAGAGTGAAGATTAAATCATCAAAATTACTGTTTTGCGGCATTTACTAAAGATAAATGGGAACTGATATTAAAGATTCGAAAATGTTTGTAGTATTTCGAGACATGAATCCTTCTGACAGAGTTCGAACGAATTTCCAGCGACTCGCTATTTTCGAGAACACCGTGACATAAAGTACAGATTTAGTTTTGGAGAAAAGTAAACAACTATCTCATCAATACTCTGTTTTTCTATAGATTACATCGAAAATTCTTCTTTCGAGAATCAAAAATTAAATTAACACAAATAGTGATGTATTTCTTTAAGTGCACATTTTTTGACACAAGTTGAGAATTTTCATTGATCCTTACCAAACTTACACAGTGCAAAATATGAGTTAGAAATAAGAAGCAATAGATATGTTCCATCTGAATTACATAAAAATATTCGGCTTCTCCCTTCTTCTCTATTCTTTACTTCAAGGTCGAGATCTTATAGAGATTGTTGAACCTATCCCGCCTAGACTCAAAACATTCTGCCGCTACTGTACCAAATGTGTTTTGTTGTGTATATGAAGCATTGAAAACGGCCCACTTTTTGATGACTTGACTCGGTTCTACTAAAAATAATATGATTAAAAGTATATTTCTTTAATAAAAAGAATTTTTAAAAGACGGAATTCCACAATCATCTATTAGAACAGTATAAAAAATTTATTATCATAGTGATCACGAGTGAAATAAGGTCGGATAACATTAATGCTTGAAAAAACAGTATCAGAGATAAGTCGAGTTATGAATTGAATCGAAAGACGATGATACGTTCGTAAGTATTTCGATTTCTTGAAGACTATCATTTATTGACATAAATTTCAACAAGTAAAATACCTGTTAATCAATTTGAAAGGTTCAAACCGGTTACTATTTTGTACACAGTAAATACTGTTCCATTTAATACAGTTGATAGTGTACTTGGCCCGGTGTCTAGATAAGGAAGGTCATTGAAGCAAATAAATATGCTGCTTTTACATATTGGTTAAATGAAAAATTTCAAAACATTCACATAATAAAGATTCAAGATTGTCACCAGTTGCGAGATGCAAATTCCATATGAAAAATTTTGACAAAAAGTCAAAATAAAATCGATCAAAAATTAGCTTTTTTTCTATTTTCTTAAGTAAAAAGTCTTCCTTAAAAAAAAAAAGAAATTAAGTTTGGACTAGACGGTCCATTTCGAACTCAGATATATATACAGTTGATGTAACACTCTATCGTATTAAATAATCATCATTGATACATTTGAAGTGTTTCCATCATCTTTGCTTTCAATACGATAGACTGATGTTACGAAGTTAGCTTGGTCAAAAATCGACTATTATCTATAGTTTCTTCAATGATCAATCAAATATTCTTCAATACGTAAGTATATCGATATCTAGTGTTAAAATATGATCAACATATAATTAATTATTCGACAAATTTAAAAAGAAAAATAAACATTCTATCAAATTTTCATTAAAAATTCTACTGATTATACTTAAACAGGGGCTTTCTTTATTCGATACAGTAAAAAATGCATCATCTTCATTTCTTCGGGTGATAAACTATGAAATGATATCGTCAATGGTGAGCAACATTGTTCACCTTTTTTTTGACCAAATTGTGCATTCTTTTCAATCCATTTTGTAAAATTTCCCATAAAATGTTGTTCAAATGTCATTGGATGAAAAATTTCAAGTTGTTGATTATCACGTACATTTACAACAAATATACCAATACGTGCAAGACAATAAGCAAGATTTATATCTTCAGCTTCATCTTTATTACATAATTTACGTTTTTCAGTTTTTGTTAAAATTTCTTTACCAAATTGAAGTAATGCTTCTTGACTTAAGATATAACCAGCACCACCTGATGCATAAAGTCGATCTGACGTTGTAGCTATATAACCATAATAAAATGATATATTTGATGGACGACGTCGAAGAAAATGGCGAAGATTTTCAACAATGACATATGTATCATCATCACCTTTAAAAAACCAGTCATAATCACGACCATATTGTTCATATATATAGAGTAATGAAAGTAAAGTTTTTTCCGATAATCGATTATATTTTTCTATCGTTTCATCACCAATATAAGCAATAGAAAAAGGATATTTTGAATGATCAAGAGAAGATGGTTGACGTGACCCAGCAATCATAAAAATTGAATGATCACATCGTTTAGCCCATGTTCTAGATTCGACATACGAAAATTATCATTTTCTCTAAATAGACAAGTTGATTTACTCACTCATATACGACAATGGCTCGATCAAGTCGTTTAAGTGTTGTTGGAACCCAACATAAAATTCGTGTATTTATATTAATTATACTGGTTTTATCACTGATATTATCCGGTATTGATATTTCAAAATTATTTTTACAAGGAGAATCATATAAATAAAATATATAGATTAAAGGTTCAATGATTAATAATAAAAGTATAATAAAATAGATGAACATTCGACGACGATATAATGACATGAGAATATAAGAGATTAAGAAGAAAAAACTCGAACGAATGAAAAAAAATAAAGACAACATTAGAAAAAAAACCTTCACATTATTCAATGTTTACTTTTCAAATGGAACGAAAATAAAATAGTCGAATCGGATAATTATAAAAAGCCAAAAAAAAAAGATGGTGTGTCAGTTTATAAATGACAAGTAAATAAACGATCGCTTGGCAAGACAGTAATATATTCATATGCGTATTAATGCTAAATAATATGAAATATTTCATTACTAATTACTTGAGCTATTTCAATCAAATGTTCTTCTACTAATGGATGTGTAAAACGTGTTTAGAAAAAATTTTTCACTCGATCAAGAGGGTTAACAGAAAGTGGTAAACATTTAGGTAGAATCAAAATTATATGCTCTTTTTGAATTTTTGTGAGACTTATAAGTTATGAGTTATGAGCAAATTTTTGAAAGTTCTGAAAATAAAGTTTTAACGATTTTTGATGTTCAATAAAACCTTATAGATAGAGGTGACATTTATTCTACATAAACCAATAGAGAGACCAGAGCATTTCTCTACAAAAGAATATAGTCATCATCAGTTTTCTCTAAGGTGTCGACCAGTAACAAGAGATTTAGTAAGATATACAATAGCATGTTCACAATCCTTTGATTTTCTGAACTGGTCGTTTCTTACAAACAGTTACAAAACTCTTACTTCTTAGTTCGGTTTGTAGAGAACTGTTTCGACCATTATAGAGTTCAATAATGGATAGCATGCTGAGAAGGAAGTCTATTATACAAGTGCTAATTGAGAACGTGATGCAGTCAAAGGAAAAAAGTGAAATTAAACAATATGAAATTAATTTCAAACACGATACGGTCGTATTCTCTAACCCCGTCTAAATTTTATTTTCAGACCTTTCAAAAACTTGCTTATAACGTCTGAACTATGAGTCTTGCAAAAATTCAGGAAGAATGTATAATTCTGATTCTAATCAAGTGTTGAATAGTTTCGACTGATTTTCTTAATCGATCGAAAAATAAAAGAATATTTTGTCTCAAAAAATTTCGATGCACCCATTGCTTGTTTACTTCCGTGATATGAATTATGTTTACATCATAATGAAATTTGTTATGAAAAATTAAAACATTTTCTACTTATTGATTCATTAATTTTCATCACAAGTTATTCGACTAAGCATAAATTAGGAAAAAATAAGCAAAAGAAAATTTAAGTAGTTTAACATAATTTTATTTTGCTTTTTATTTATGAATTTAAAGATAGATTTTATTAAAATACAACATTTCATGGAGGAAAAAACTTGTAATTGAAAAATATTACTATCAAAATAGAAACAAGAACACTGAACCTTACAACACATGGAATATCTGCAGAAATAACAGTGTCTTTTTTTTTTAAAATAAGATATGTAGTTTTTAAAACTTAGACATTATACAAGTAAAACCATGCGCAATTGATTATTGAACACTGTAGATTTTACTATTTCAACAAGTGATGATGTTGAAATATGAACATAAAAGCGCTCAGTCATAAAAGCGTCTATCGTTTTTAAAACTTCATCATGTTGGAGAATGAAGAATGCTGCTTATAATGAGTTATTATTCATCTGTGATGTATTTCTGAGTATATATTTCGTTGTTTATAGGGTTTTCAATGTAGATGTAAAATTAGAATAATCAACTAAAATGTATACGTATTTTTACAATGTTAGCTTATTTAAGAAAAACAGAAACAATAATGAGATACGACTATTTATTGTATTATATGAATAATAAAACATGTTTCTTGTAAACATTAGCATCTTGTAAGACCGATTAGAACGTGAATGTTGGATCAACACATACGTACATATGTATATATATATATATATATATATATATATGATTCAAATAACCTGAGTATTTTAGTTTTTGACGAGTAACACAACCAAGTACTTTCTTGATAATTTCACAGTATTTAGAATTGATAATATTAATACATTAAAGTGATATTCTCTTCAAAAACAAATATTTATTAGATTAATGATTGGTAGTTGTCATAGTTCAGACAATATATATATATTAGTCTATAACATGGTGACGTAATTTTTATTCTGTTAGAATATCTTTCAAAAAGTGAAAGATAATAAAAAGAACATGAATAGAACAGAAAACAAACGGATTGAACATAAGCAACAAGCACTGTTTGTTGATGTTGTAAATCTTTGTATTGTTGAACTGCTAGATGCGAAGATACTTTGGGTTGTTGAACTGCTAGGTACGAAGGTACTTGATGTCGTATCATTTTTAACTAGCGAAAAAAGACTAGTAAGATTGGCAAGAGAACCAGCAGTAGCATACGGATTTGGGTTAAGTTTAAGAATATGACAGGCAATATGATAAATATCAACATTATTAAGTGAATCAATTTGAACATTTTCATTAAACGAAGGACCACGAGCCATAAATATGGCTTGCATTGATGGTAGTGTATTATCCCATCCGTGATTGCCTTTATTATCATATTGTGCATTAGTTGTTGCCTAAACATAAAGTTGAGAACGATGTTCGATTAAGCTAATTCAAAAGATTACTCCTGATATAATGTGACCTTCCACATCTGGCAATGCGGTGATTTCGCCAAGTCGATGTTTTGGCTTTGAATAATGAAAACGTTCAGGCATTTCATCACGCTTATAGACTGTTACATTAGGAATATTACTAAGATTATTGTGCACTTGTTCGGTCTTTTTTTTTTGAATAAATAATTTATAATCGATATATTTTTAGAATTATATATTCTTACTAGTCCACTTCTTGGCATCACATTGAATAAGGCACCAGAAAGAACAGTTGATTCAACTGATGATCGATTGACATATTTCTCAAAAAATGGTCGTATTACTTTTGTTACATTGGTCATACCCTTAAAATCTTGAAATGTATTGAAGTAGCTAGTGACTTTCGAATAAGAATGTCATATTAGAACTATGATTAAAGCCTAATGCTGTAATATTATTTTGCATTGAAATCAATTCATGTTTACGTAGATGTCAGCATTAAGTTAATATTATTTTTTGTTCTAGTATATATATTTCATGTTAATTTTTAAACACTATCTAGACATCAGAAGTGGAGCGTTTTAGGAGTTATCTGGACATCAAACGTAGTTTTTTTTGCAACTACTAGTAGTATATGCTCCCTATGATCTTCTTATCGGTTAGATTTCTTAGAATAAATGGCTAGTTGTATCAGGACCATGAAAAAATTCTAGCATATTGTCTAGAACATTTTACTACTTCTACAACGAAAAATGAGATGTGGATGGGTGTAGCTGTCAGTGTGCGAGTGAAGTGTGACCCGTGCGTGTTCTTCTCAGGCGCATATTCATATCAAGACTCAGATACTCCACACTCGCAGATACACCTAAACAAAGTACATACAAGTATTTATCCATATATGAATGTTTTTCTTTTATAGATTAGAAACCAAGTTTAAAATGAAAATACATTATTCTTCTTTAATATTCTCGGCACGTCTTTTAGCTGAAAATGAAATCTATTTATACAATTTTAAAACTTTTACTTTGTAGACATGTTACTAATAAAGTCGAAGACGTTTTTGAAACATAAATTAAACATTAATAAAATACTTTTTACAACTGTTTCAAATATTCCCTTAATGCTCTTGAAAATTTTATCATAAAATGTGTTGTCCGCGCATAAATGTCATTCGAAGTGAGTAAATAAATTTCGTTTGTCATTTTTCATTACAAAAGTAATAAAATACTTGAGACGACAATGCAAATCAATTTCATGATTCTCATGAACTAACTATTTATTGAAAGAATGTCAACTGATAAGAAGGTCATACGTAGCATATTGAGATAGTTCAAAAAAAAACACTACAGACAAGATATTCACGTAGCCCATTAAAAGTTATAGACATCCTGTATAGATAGTGCTTAAAAAATTTACATGAAATATATTCATGAGAATTAGAACTAATGCTAATATGATATTCTTATTTTCGAAAAATATCTCACACAAATAAGTTTCTTAAGTATTTTTACATACATGATCAGAGAGTATAATAATATTTAAGTCATCATTGAGTTCATTTTTTACTTTATTTAATAAATATTCTGTATCATTATCGAGACGTAATAACTAGTTAAAGAAAAAACTATAAATAAATTTTACTTCAATAAGTTTCTACTTACTGCATCGCGTACTTCAGGTGAATTTGGACCGTATGTATGACCTTGTTTGTCTGGTTCACTTAAAGAGAAAATAATTATTTCCATAAAAAGTAAAATATATTTATCAACTATACAAATGATATAGCATAACGAGTTGAACTGGTAATTCACGAAAGTAACCTATGGCATTGTCAATTTTTTCACGAAATGGTATGTTATCAGTATATAACCAACTATAGATAAGTGGACGAATGCCATAAAATTCATTATGACATGCTGGCCAAAAAAGAACAGCCGATTTTACTTTCTAAAATAAACAAAATATTCAACTTGTTAAATAAATATTTTCATTTTAAATAAATACCTGCTTAGTCGCAGTAATCCATAAAGGTTCTATGTTTGGATCAGACCATTGTCCATCATCACGATTACCTTAAATAAAAAAGTTCAATTGATTATTTTTGACATTAGATTAAAATGAAATATATACTCATTCCAATAGTTTTATTTAATAATCGATCATAGAAGGAATTATGTATGATTCCATGATCTTCTTGATACATTCCTAAATTTCATACACAAAAGAATATCACATAACTCGTGTAAATATATTTTTGTATAGACCCGTTGCAATTGAGATATGATTAGGAAATGTCATTGTAGTAAATGTAGGCCGCATTCCATGTCGTGCTTGTACACCTTCATTGCGAAATCGATTCAATGTAGGTAATTCAAGCTCATTTAAATAATCATGACGAAATCCTTCAAAACAAATTACTTTCCGTTATAATCAAATCCTATTAATTTACATCGTACCATCAAGTGAAATAATCAGTAGTCGTGGGATGTTAGATAATTTTTTCGTACCATCACCGTATCTCAATAACACAATTTGAAAGATAGACACTATCAAGGTAATACATCGAAAGTACATTATAGTGAAAAAAAACAAGTCTGAGTAGTTTGCGTCTGATATAAATATCAATTGTCAGAAGTTGACAACCATAGCTACCTGTTTCATTTTATTTTATTTTATTTTTTTGTTATTTGGTTCTTATCTTAGAAAGGGTGTGTATTAAGAGTTATAGAGATCCGACTGTAAATATAAGCTAGAGAGAGAGAGAGACTCGCAAGAGGAAAATGATAACATATTGCTTTTATTATGTAGTTAATACATTTGATGTAATGTCTGTTTGAATTTAGAAAATATCAATATTATTTAAGATCTTAACACTAATGTTAATCAGATGTGAAGAATTTTTTTTCATTTTTACACTAGAAACAGAAAAGAAATAAACATATAAACAGTTGATAATACAATTATATTAATTGTTCAAGTTCATCAGCTGATCGACTTAAATATGAAGCTGCTTCTCGATATGCATTGACAAGAACTTTAATTGAATTTATTTCACTATTAGACAGTTTTATTTGTTTGGATAATTTATTGGCGTTTGTTGTTGACGAATCATTTGTCCCTACATAAAATGAAAAGAATTCAGTCAATAAAAAGAAAAAATAAAAAATAAAACACTTTGATAAGAACCGTTAGTATGTGTATGAGATGATACGAGTGTTGTTGAAATGGGTGGAGGTGGCGCTGTAAGTGATTGAAGAAAATTTGATGAAGAAAAATTTGGACGGAAAAGTGGTGATGTTGAACCAGTACCATTCGAAGCTGCAGCAACAGCAGCTGCTGAAAAATAAGCTGATAGATCAAGTGATGGTCGAAATTGTTGTGAAAATGCATGACGAAGAAAATCGGCATCAAGTGCAGATAATGTCGATGCTGATGATGTAACTAGATCAGACTATAAATAATGCATAAAGAAAACATATTTATACATAAAGAAATATTTTCAATAAGAACAAAACAATTAATTCAATTCCTATAGAATGTCAAAAAATATATTATCATCAACTCTTTATTTCGAACATATACATATATATACATACCGTTTTGGGTGTTGTGTTACTTGAAGTTGAATTTGATCGATTTTTTTTAATCGTATTTTCATTAGAATTAAAACGTTCGGTAGTTGTTTTTGGTAAAATATTTGTATGCTCCTATAAGAAGAAAAACAAGATTTGTTAAAATTTATTAATATTATAAATCGTTATACTTGATGTAAAAATGAATTAGTTGTATGTGATGATTGTTGTGTTTTACGCATTTTGAAAATATTACGAATCATTCGACGAATTCGATCAAGAGATATATCGCGATATTCTTTTATACAAGCATTTTCAAGTGCTTTTACTTGTTCATCATATGTTGAACCTAATGATGATGAATCATTAATTAATGTTTGAATGAAAGACTGAAAGAAAAAAGAATATGACAAGTTTTTTTTTCAAAGTTTTATTATCTCACTTTGAGACTTTTCATGCGTAATTGAGATTCATTTTCTTTCTTGGCTTTATTATTATTATTATTATTATTATTATTATTTTGAGTATTCGCATCATTACTAGTTGTATCAATTTGAGAAGATGTACCATTTTGATTTGAGGTTTGTATTGTTGATGATAAATGTTTACTTGAAGAAGAAGAAGAATTTGTTTGATTTACAGTTGTTTCATTGTTACGATGAGGTGATCGAGAACGATCTTTCGGTGAATGAGCAAGCATATCTAAAAACAAAAAAAATGATCACCTACTTTACATTATTTACAATGAGATATTGCACGACAAAAAAAAAGAAAAATCTTACCTTTTTTTTTGTACGAGTTATTTCTTTTGCTTTTTCAGTGACTCTGTCATTATTTATGAAAATATGAAGTGATGAGTGAATAGACCAAGCATATTCTCTTCCTTTCTAGTTCTCCCTATTTTTCTTACTATTAATCTGTTGATGCTTGGTTGCACGTTCAGGTTGACATGCTCGTCGACGTGCGCTAACTTGTCTTACTAATAGGACGATGCTTGAATCAATTTCAGAGAATGAACTGCAAGTTACACATATGAGAGAAAAACGACGCACAACGGACGGAAGGCTCTCTTCCTGTCTTGTTCTCCCCAAAAAAATTTTGCGCTCTCTATCTCTCTATTTTTTTTTGACTATAAGACATCTCGCCATTGTAATCAATGAAGGTGAAAGCCGGTTAAAGTCTTTATGTGTGCAATGTCGGTAAACTATTAAAAACAGAAAGCGAACGTTGTGAGTATGCTCATTCCGCTCGTCTAACAAAAAAATTGATAATGAAGACGAACGACGCATTTTGCACTACTACTCACATCACTATTTTCCCTCTTACCTTTTCCTTCTCTTCATCCAAAAAAAAAACGTTGTGTGTGTTTCTTCTTTCCGACGAAGACGACAATTCCTTTTCTCGTCGCCCAAAAAAAATGACGACGAAGGCACGGAGAGAAGATCATGTTTTCTGTTCTCAAACGGAATAATATAAGACGAATGAGCGCACATACCATATAGCTTAGAATCTACAACGTACCAACGCGACCAACACTCGAGATTTGCTTTACCTTGACAATGCGACGAAGGTGAAATAGTAACGATGTAGTAACAGCAAAAAGGAGAAATACTACTGTTCACCTGTTATTATTAAACGATATTAGCATCGCTTTATTCATATACCAACAAACGGAAGTATTGCAATCAAAATCAAAATTATAAATTTTAAATACAAAAACTTTTTTATATTCTTGAATAGATTAATTATATGTGTTTCAAATGTTCTAGCTTTATTATCAGAGATTTGAA